AACAGAGGTTTTCCGCGAAATGGACCATCGAGATAAAGTGGTCATGAAATATCCGAATAACATTAAAGCATATCGGAAGTCTATCGAGCGACTAAGGGTTCACATCTTTCTTGCCGAATTGGATGGTGATTTTGAACAAGTTCGTGGAGAAATTCTACGCAACGATCCAGTTCCAGACTTGGAAGGCTGTTACTCTTTGGTTCGCCGAGAAACGGTACGTCGTGGAACTCTGAAAGGGGAATCCGAAAACTCTGAAGCTTCAGTCATGATGGCTCGAAACAGATCTAAGCAAAACTGGCAAGACCGTACTAAACCTAATCAATCTAAAACCACCAACCTGGCAAGACCGTACTAAACCCAATCAATCTAAAACCACCAACGGTGCAGACAAGTCTACCTACAAATGTACCCATTGCAATCAGACTGGACATACCAAAATTCGTTGTTTCAAACTTGTGGGATATCCGAAATGGTGGAATTATAGTCGTTGGAAGAAGAATTCGACGAAGACCTCCACTGTAGCAGTTGTTAAAATAGATAATGATAGTGCTGAAAAGGCCTTGGGGTTGGTAGTAACTGGAGACAATGGTGGTAAGGTTTTAAATATTTCTATACCTGTTGTTAATAATGCATGGATAATTGATTCTGGTGCTACAGATCATATGACATTTGATTCTAGACAAGTCTCCCCTCTTAACTCCTCCTCATAACAATTTGTTTTTAATACTAATGGTACTTCGACCCCAGTTATTAGGAAAGGATCTTTGACACTCACTGATAATCTGTATTTAGATTCTGTTTTAATTGTTCCATCTTTATCTTATAATCTTTTGTCAGTTTCCCAAATAACCACAGCTTTATCTTGTGTTGTAATTTTTTGGCCTGATTTTTGTGTGTTTAAGGACATCCAAACAAAGCAGACGATTGGTTGTGATATTAGGCGAGGGAAGCTGTATTACTTGGACTTGATGTCAAAAAATTCCGACAAATTACGACAAGCATTGACAGTGGATGGTTCTGAGGGGGAGAAAAAGAAATCTGAAATCTGGCTGTGGCATCAACGTCTAGGGCATGCTTCTTTTGGTTATCTGAAAAAATTATTTCCTAGTTTATTTCAAAAATTTGATGGTTCTAGTTTCCGCTGTGATGTTTATGAACTAGCAAAGAGTCACCGTGCTTCATTTCCATTATGTTTGAATAAAAAGTCCACTTCCTTTTATGGTTATACATTATGATGCTTGGGGTCCGTCCGAAGTCACTACTTTAGGTGGATCACGTTGGTTTGTTACTTTTATTGATGATTGTACCAGGATGACCTAGTTGTGCTTGATGAAATCCAAAAGTGAAGTGAACTTATTGTTTCAAAAGTTTCATAAAATGGTTGTTACTCACTACAATGCACATGTTCAGGTTCTCCGTAGTGACAATGGTGGAGAATATCAAAGTTTTGACCTTCAACAATATTTGGAAGCACATGGAACTATTCATCAAAGCACTTGTTCCAATACACCTCAGCAGAACGGGGTTGCAAAGCGAAAAAATTGCCACTTGTTAGAGATTGTTCGTGCTTCCTTGATATTCTGCTCATATGCCGTTATCGTAATCAATCGAGTACCTTCCAGCTCTATTGATTTTCGAACATCATTGCAGGCTCTCACTGACGCAATTGTTGCCCCATCCATCCCAAATCTACCTCCTCATGTTTTTGGTTGTGTAGCATTTGTACACCTCCATAAGCATCAACGCAACAAGCTAACTCCTTGAGCGCTGCGATCTGTTTGTCTCGGATATGCTACTCATCAAAAGGGGTATCGCTGTTATCACCCTCCAACTCAACGAATGTTTATCACCATGGATGTTGTCTTCCATGAAGATTCGATGTATTTTTTTCTCTGCGTCTAAACTTCAGGGGGAGTACCAGAAGGAAATTCAGACTCTAAATTATGATTATTACATTTTTTAGGACAGCAATTCTAGTCAAGTTGGACCTACAAATCAGGAATCGGCGAATTGGATTCGAGTGGTATAAGTTTGGATCAAAGTGGTGATGAATGCCCAAAAATAGAAAGTATGGCGCCAATCCCACCATTGTCCGAGATTGAGTCCCTCGCAACTGATATATCCAACCAATCGCCTACTGAGGATGTTCCTAATTTAGTGCCTGAGCCAATCAGAAAACAATTACCACAGCGTCACACTAGAAGTATTCCTAAACCCACTTATGAACCCGAACTTTCTAATAAAGTTAAGTATCGCATGAGTCATTATATGTCGAACCATCATTGGTCAGAATCAAATTTGTCATTTGTAAATCAATTATCTACTGTATCTACTCCTAACAGTGTGCAAGAAGCCTTAGCTGACCCTAGGTGGAAAGCAGCTATGAACGAGGAGATGAAATCCTTACAGAAAAATAAAACTTGGGAACTCATTAATCCTCCACCAGGAAAGAAACCAGTAGGATATCGATGGATTTACAATGTGAAGTATAAAGCCGATGGCACAGTTGAACGCTTTAAAGCAAGATTGGTGGCAAAAGGTTACACCCAAACCTATGGAATCGATTACACAGAGACATTCGCACCCGTAGCCAAAATCAACACAGTTCGTGTCTTGTTGTCTTTAGCTGCAAACTTGGATTGGCCATTACAACAATTTGATGTGAAGAATGCCTTTTTGCATAGTAAATTATCTGAAAAAGTCTACATGAATCTCCCACCAGGATGCATGATACCCAAAAAGTATAGTAAAAAAGTCTGCAAGTTAAAGAAATCATTATATGGGTTGAAACAATCTCCGAGAGCATGGTTTGGAAGATTCACAAAGTCGATGATAGCCTTTGGCTACCGTCAGAGTAATTCAGATCACACATTATTCCTGAAGAAACAACAGGGTAAAATCACTGCACTCATTGTATATGTAGATGACATGGTGGTTACAGGGAATGATCCTGAATAAATGAAGGCTCTCGAGAAGTACTTGTCCAGAGAATTTGAAATGAAAGATCTAGGTCCTTTGAGATATTTTCTTGGGATCGAAGTATCTCAATCTAATAAAAGAATCTTTCTATCTCAAAGAAAATATGCTTTAGATCTATTACAAGAGACTGGCATGACAGCATGTCAACCAGCTGAGACACCAGTGGAAGAAGGACTAAAGTTATGTGTTGAGTCCAACCAAGTACCTGCTAATAAAGGATGATGCCAAAGACTTGTAAGGAGATTGATGTATTTAGCACACACGAGACCGGATCTGGCTTATGCATTGAGCATTATTAGCCAGTTTATGCATGATACTGGAAAGCAACATATGAATGTAGTTATGCGCATTTTGAGGTATCTGAAATCTGCTCCTGGAAAAGGAATTTTGTTCACTAAAAATGCTGGTTATCAAAACATAGATGCATATACTGATACTGACTGGGCTGGAGCTATAGATGATAAGCGATCTACTTCTGGTTACTTCACTTTTGTATGAGGTAATCTTGTTACATGGAGAAGCAAGAAACAAAATGTTGTTGCTCGCTCGAGTGCAGAAACTGAATTCAGAGGTATGGCGCTTGGACTTTGTGAAACTTTGTGGTTAAGACTTCTCTTGCGGAATTTGGGTTATCTACCTAGGTAACCGATTAGACTATATTGTGACAATAAAGCAGCATGTGATATTGCCCATAATCTAGTTCAACATGATCATACAAAGCATGTCGAAATAGACAGATTCTTCATTAAGGAGAAATTGGATGAAAAAATTGTGGAGTTGCCTAAGATTCAATCTGATGATCAACTAACCGACATTCTCACCAAAGCAGTCTCAAATCAAGCGTTTTCAAAAATTTTAGACAAGTTGGGCATGTGTGACATCTATGCACCAACTTGAGGGGGAGTGTTGAGATTTTATTTTTTGTAATCCGGGATTATACAGATTGTATAGTTGTAGAATTGAATTATTTACTCCTTAATTTAGGGCTAATTGGTAGGTAATTAGTTTCTTAATTATTGTATAATTAGTTACATATACTCATCGTGAATAATATCAAATAGAGTTTTAATTCTCATATTCTTTCTCTGAATTTTAAGTTTTTCTCCTGTTTTCTAACTTTTCTTCTTATTCTTCTGTTTTTTTTTTTTTTTTTTTTTTTGTCAATTAATCATTGGTAAAGTCAAAGCTGATTGACTAAAATAATATGATTAACTAAAATGTTTATAAAAAGAAAAAGAGTGGTGATACTATTTTCCAATAGAAAGGGAGAGCCATAATGAACTCATGGAGCCCATATAGGTCGCAGATGAATTTACCAAAGTAGTATTGTTCAACTCCATTTTGGTAATTAATTTTTGTTTTATTATTATTCTATTTTTTTTTTTTTTTTTTTTTTACATTGGCAAGAGGTTCTTTTCCTGTATAAAAACTTGAAGCCTTAATTTTTAATTTTGACCCATTTAATTAAAAAAACAGGCAGTATAGTCTAATAGTACTTCCTCCTTTCCAATGAAGAATGTCATTAATTGATTTATTGCATGAAATTCAACAACATTATTTCCTCATAAATCAGATTATAAAATGGAGGATCACTCGTGTTGTATCTGCTCCTCCCTTTTAGGAGGAATATGCTAGTATAAGGTGCAAGGTTCGGGCCTTGGTAGAGACGCATCGACTTGGAAGGGATAGGTAGAAAGAGGCAAAACGACAAAGCAAGTATCTAGAAATGAGATTTGATGATATGATATATTCTATGGCGGCATCATATGATCCTGAAGCACCTAATAATTTCTCTGAACATCCAGAAACATAATGAAAACTTCTCCATCCCAAGACTTCTATATCCATAGACCATTTGTCATCAAGGCAATGCAAACAGTAACCTAACTTCATTCTGTATACTAAAGAAGTAAACATTCCATGAGAAGCAATGAGCAAAATTGCCAGAATGCATGTGATTGTTTTGGGAGTTCATAAGCAACCCACCTGAACAAACTGCGCGAAAAGGAAAAAACTGATGGTGTTTCTGGAAACCACAAAAATGCACATAAAAAACCGATGATCTTGGTTGTAACAACAACAGAATGGTGAGTATAACCTGACAGTCCCAAATATAATGATGAAATATAATGATACAATATTTCAAATTACATCCATGAGCAACAACAATGGAACATCTTTTGCGTGTCTAACTAATTAAAAAGCCCCTCCCATTAGCGCTGGACTTCCCAACTTCAAAGAATCTCCCATTACCAAAACATCCCGGAGTTCCCCCAAGACAACCACCAAAAGAAGAAAGAAGAAGAAAATGGTGAAGGCATGAACTGATATAGAGAACTGCATGCCAAGTGATTTCAGTCCAGCCAGCTTCATGCGGGTATATCACAACAAAGTATCAGTTCTTAACTCCCTGTTTATACAGTCTTTAGACTCGATGCCAATTTGTTGAAAACCCGATTAAGCAGTAACACCAGAGACCCATGGAACGATAACTGGTGCTTTTGGGTGCGAGTTTCTATAAGATTCAGAATACTTGTCCTTGAAATTCTGTTTAGGCTTTTCTGCCTGCATTTTTAAAGTTTCAATGCAAAAATAAAATAATCAGTTTGGAACATTAAAACATAGATCGGACCAATGAATAAAATGTCAGTTTAATGAGAAAGTAGACCGAAGGCCCATTGCTTACATATTTCAGCCAGCACTCCCCATTTTTGTGCTCATATTTATCAGGGGAATAACACCCTGTCTCAGATGGGCAATAAACCCATATATTGCACTTCTTTTCTTCTGGTTTGGCACGTCTAGCATGATCCACGCAAGCCTGACAACAGTCATATGCACTTTCTTTATGGTGGGTCAGGCCCCATCTGACAGCATCACCACCATAATCAGTATGAAGTTCGGTATGGCATTCAGGAGGAAGTTGCCTGCCAGGCAATGGCTCTTCATCTGGAGAGAACAGGGATATGTGAGTGAGTGAGACAGAGAGGAATTAGACTGAAATTAGTTACTGCTGAATTACCAAACTCCTCTGCGCCTTCCGGTTTGTCATCATGTTCCTTGGTAATGACTTCAACTGGTATCCAAAGTCCAATTTCTTCAGACAGCTGATCCCAACGGGACTCCAGAACTCTTGCTAGCATCCCTAAAAAAATCCTCTCCTATTAATAACAATGACTCGGCCAAATAAAAATGCCATAAGAGCCACTCTTGGAAACTCTAGTGCATTTTACTTCCTATGGAAAAAATAATGTTAAAGCTGCAAACAGATTAAAAGAAAAGACAAATCCTCACAGAAGATAAAGACTGTAAGAAAGGACACTACCGGCTTCCTCAGGTAGAATAGTTGAATTCAAGGTTTTATCACTCATCAATTGTTTGGTTTCTTCTAGTTTTTCCTTGCGCCAGCTTTCAACAGCTTCTGTTCATCAGAAAACAGTATCAATACAGAAATTGGAAAAGATATGGCCAGAAACAAGGGAACTTATATAATAGACAGCACAAAATTGTGAATAGATCAGATATTTCGTAATTTGTATCTCCATTATCATTTAATTGATATATGCTCTGCTGAAATACTTTGTTCCAATCCGTTTCTAACAGTTTAAGCTCTTATAGTCCTCAGTTGTTATGGTACTAGAGTAGAAAAGTCCAAGCTCAAATCTTGCCACCTATTTAAAATATAAATTAATAACAAGGATGGCCCATTCATAAGAGCATATACATGAGGGGGAGGGTTGAAATATATTAGGGAGAACTACAAAAGGCCTCCCTGAATTACCACATTTTTGCAATTATTCCCGACATATTAATTTGGTAACAAATAAATAAATAAATAAAATATTGCAATTACCTCCTCCCATTTGTTTACCATTAGAGAAGGAATGGCCTTTTTTTTAAAATGTGATGCATATGTTGTGTTAAATGACTATTATAACTTTTTGGAAATCAGATCACTGTTAGATCAAGTTTTACCCCAAAAAACCAATTGTGACCCATTTAGTTCATCAGTTCTTCACCTCTTCATTTCTTCTTCTTAAAAAACCTTAGCATATATATAACCATAATACATAATGAGAAAGAATTACAGAGAACAAAATTTAGAGCGAGAAAACCACTACTGTCACATCCCTCATTGGTTGCCACCACCACCCCAAATCACTTTCCGAATGACCAATCACGAAAACAACACCATAATCATAGATCAAACTTTTTAGGGAAAGAATGACTAAGAATATAAGAAGGATACAGGAGAAATGAAGGAAAATATCAAGTAAATTCCTGCACACTTCCTCACACGTCACATAATCATACTTGGAACAGAACCAGAACCCACTCTACAGAAATTAGGGTTGGAGCTGGACAAAGCGCAGAAGGGCTGTTCGCCAACTGGAAACATGCATTGTCTGAATATGAAGCAAGTGCCAAAGAAGAAAAAATTACTGCTCAGCAAACCAGTGATCTGATTAGAAAGCTTTCTGGGGATTCTTTATTGTTTTTAATTCTTATTTATCTATTTGGGGTTGGACTGTTGGAGTGAAGAAGTATGGTTTGCCATGTAATGCACAGAAGAGCGGACTCATAATTGAGGTTTGATCTAATGATTCTAGTCATCATTCATGCTGTAGGGTTCACATACCAAGGGCTTATACATTACCTTGGTATCATGTGGAAGTAGGAGTGTTCCATTGCCAACCATGGAGCTGATGATTAGAACTTCCACAATCAGTCGGGTTTTCTCGTGCTTCTTCTTTTTACTTTTCTTTTTTCTTTTTCTTTTTTTTTTTTCTCGACGGAGTTGAGATTTGGTTATGGAGTGTGGTATTATGTTCTCTCTCTCTATATATATATGTGAATATATTAAAACACACACACACACCCCCATAAATGCAGGTTTTAGATGAAGACTATTAGATTCAGACTCTCAAGCTTAAGGGCAGTTACCGATATTGGAGGCTATTTCCCAAGACTTCTAGGGGACCTCATACTGATATTAGAATCATTGAAGACTATTAGATTCAGACTCTCAAGCTTAAGGGCAGTTATTGAAAATTCCTTTCATAGGCATATTCAACAAACTTGCCTTCAAAAGATTTCAGTAAATTCTGCATATATGCTCTGGTTTGGTTTTCTGTTCTGCTCTCTACAATGATCGATTTCTGGTTTAAAATACTCAGAGGTACTGGTTTATGGCTCTGAATATGGTTCCCCTATTCTACCAGTTGTGCGCTGCTATGGTTGTTTTTTGGGTTGTAAGGGCTCCGAGTTTTTGCTCCTGTTGTTGCAAATCCTATCCTTCTTGGTGCTGTTTGGCTGTCTATCATAAGGACAGAGGTGATTCATCCTGGTGCTGTTTGATTGTTTATCATAAGGAAGAGTTAATCTAGGTGGTACTCCAGTAGTGAAGAGATTTGGAGGTTTATTGTGTCCTTTTTGTAGATAACCATTGACATTCTCTCCATTCGTCTGTTGCTTTCATCTCTTAGCAGTTTGATCGGGTTTGTTGAGAATGCTCTGGTTTTAGATTTTGTTCTGTGGAGTTTATCCTCCTTGACCTTGTACAAAGGGAGTTTTTTGTCATGCCAGGGGGTTAATTACAAATGTGTGTTTTTAATTCAATTTGGCCAATACATTATAATACCTCTCTCTTAACAGCTTAAACGTTTAGAGTAGTTGGTTCCTATTATGCTTCATAGAACAAAAATGAGGAAACCTCTACCTGGAGCTATAAAAACTAACGCTAAAGAAGATCCTGCAGTCAACATGGAAGTAGATACCATCACAAGGTTTAGGTCTCAGACCAGCAGAAACTCTAGACTGGTGCAGTCATAGTAATGAGACATTAGAAGTAAAAACTAGCAACAATCTGTTTCGGCTCCAATACAACAAGCATTTTTTATCATTTAATTTGTAAATGATAAAAAATATATATATATACAATTCTGAAAATCAACCATATATATAAGCCTATTTGGTTCAATGCAGATTGACTTGGCCAGAAGCCCGACCAAATCCAACTAATATTTTAACATGAATTGGTTCCCACTGCCCCCACAAAAGTGCGCACTTGAATATTCAGTATTGCACTTTAATACAGACAAATTCTACCACATCCCAAATACAAATGCACCCCATAAACACTTTAAGTACAAGCAATGTTACTCTCTCTTTTTCTTTTGTTTTTTGTTGGTTTGGGAGGGGGGAGGGGGGTGGGAGAAAGAGGGCATCCCTATCTACAAATAAGATTTCAACGTACACAGTGAATCTGAAGCAACATATCACAAACATAAAATCAGATCTTAAACTCTCATAGTGTTACAAATGTCAATGAGAAAACCAAGGGTGCCAATAAATCCTTGAAAAATCAACCAAAGCAAAACTATATATATATGAAAGCCACCAGTTGATAGACAATTATAAGAATAGGTCTGTCCATCAATCGAGAACAATAATGTAATAAATAAGAAAGGTAATGCATCATCAACAGAAGTGAGGATGCAGCAATATCAAAACAATTGTCCTACGATGATGGGGCACACAACACATAACAATTAATGGCAATATGGTACAAATAATTTTTAAAATCAATGACTTCATCCCAAAGTGTAGCAACAGTGCAGCAATATACCAGAGAAACACATAAAAAATAGACTAGAGAAAAATGGAGATGGGTCATCTCTCTTTATTTATCTATATAGATATCACTTCTTATAATGTGAACTCAACATAAAAATATTACATATCCAAAGGTGTCAGGATGGAATTTAAATACATTTTGATTAGCGATGTAAGCATAATACTGAATCTATTCCAGAGATGGAAACATTCAGGATGTCACAAATTCTATGCCACTCTTTAAGGCTTTAAGCATAAATCTCATGAATTTGATTTGAGTTTCTCTATCTCTATCAGCCCTCAGGCCATTGACCTGTGGCTTGTGGGTTCCAACACATACAGGAATCCCAACAAGAAGGGCCAGTTTAGCTGTGACAGAATTCAAAAAACATCAAATTCACCATTTTTTTTTTTTTTTAAAGAAAGGACTCGCAAAACCTCATAACATATTAAATGATTGATATTGTCTATAAAACCCTCAATCCAATCCAACTGAAAAACGCAATGAATGAGGTTCAAGTTCAATCAAATTTCCCACGTTTAGAAAGATAATCTGGATGATAAAACCCACCATTTGTCCAACAAAAGTTGTTGCACATAGTAATTATTGGAAAAGAAGCCAATTCAACTCTGATTTCATTTTTTATCATATTGCTTTCTTAAAATAATACTAAAAACCCCTTTATTTTTTTATTTATTAATTTTTTTTAAACCCCTTCAATTTTTAAGGGAGAAAAAGCGAACAATAAACCCTGTTAACAACCATCTACTCCAAAAGCTTAAGCTATTAGAGAGGGTGTAACTTTAATAGTAATATCCTTCAACACGCCCCATCACGTGTAGCCTTCTTTTGGTCCAACAAGTGTTTTTCAATTTTTTTAATTAGGGTGACGATGAGGTTTGAACTTGAGACCTTTGGCTCAAATACCATGTTAACAACCATCTACTCCAAAAGCTTAAGCTATTAGAGAGGGTGTAACTTTAATATTAATATCCTTCAACAAACCCCATTGGCTTGGAGGTGGCACACCAATTGTGAGTCGTTTAACAACTCAACAAAGCCTTTTTCCAACTACTTGGAGTCGGCTACATGAATCCTATAGTTCATTCCAGTCTAAGGCCATGGACAACTAAGTCTCGCTTGATAACGTGACGACTCAGCTAAGTCATCTTGGAATCCCTGCACTTTTGAGATTTCACCCTATGTAATGAGATGTCTCCTGCATGTGGCCAAGAAGATGTGTGTCATGAGATGGTTCAGCATACCAAGACGAATCAGTCAACATCATCATGTTCCAACTAACCTTGTAGAACAAAGTTAGTTACTCTCCCAGCCACGCGAGCTCCCAGGAATCATATTAGACCAAGTGTCTCTCATTCTCAATCAACTAAATACCAGATATCAGTTTATTAGGTTTGATGTATTCACAATTTTTTAAGAAGTAAACATAGTTTGGGACGCGTTCCCCTTTTGAACGCTTTTAATACAATTTACTTATCAAAAAAAAAGTAAACAAACTATCCAAAGGTCAATTTATCTTTATTTTTATTTTTTATTTTTTATTTTTTATCTTATGTTCTTAACTAAAAAAAAATACTAGTAATCAAGTCTTATAGTGAGAAATTGGATTTTTTTTGTTTTCACAAAATGACTAAAAATTATTCATTTATGATGTTCTTTTTGTTTTAAAAATAATAAAGTACAGAGTAAACTAAGACGTGTTCATAAATATAAAATATATCAAACACATTAAAATATTAGGATGATGAAGAGCAGGACATTGAAGTAGTAAAAAAAAAAAATGA